TAGAGCACTGTCCAGTACATTAACCACAGTTATAAGTATCGCAGGTTACTTATCCTCTTGCCCTTAATTCACCTATAAACTCTTAGGATTTGTAACTGCTACAGTGGGGAGCAGGAACGATGGTGTGCTTTCTATTTTATCCACTTTGGAAATGAAGGAAACACAAATATTGTCCAGCTTTTTCAAAGTTTTCCATGTATTGGGATTCTATTATGTTTGAAATGCTGCAGAGTTGCAAAAAAAAAAAAAATTAAAGAAATTAGTTAATAAATAAATACAAATGGGAAGACAGAGCTTAAAATGTATCTACCGGTATATGCTGGGTTCCAACATATTCAGTTATGACTTGTCATGCTGAAAAACAGTTTGTTTGATTTAATATTGTTTAATATTCAAAAAACGTTGACCAGTATAACATGTTCTTTTATCAGCGGAATCCAACAGAAAGGAGAGATTGTTAGGATGTAACCTTCTACCTGGCATTTCTGACATATGCCACTACTGTATCTTAGGTAAGTACTTTATTTTGGCAAAATGTGGCAATAGTGTCTTCCGTCGCCCCACCCTGCCATTTCCCAACAGCCATCAAAGTCAGAGTCATTATTCAATGAAATGTTCAAAAGAGGTCTATATCTTCTCATTGTACATGTGCAAGACTATCTCTGGAAGATCACGCAGTCTTACGGGGTCTTCCATTCAGATTTATTACCTTGCTCAAGAGTAATACTGGCAGCTCTGGGGAAATTAAGCTACAGGGAGCAGAAGACCTAGGTAAGGAAGAAAATGGCAGCTCTAAAAATCAAGAGGTACAGGCAAATGTTCCCCATGAGCATCGCAATGTCACCTTGTGGGGTTCCAGGCAGAAAATATGAAGACCCCTAAAATAACAATGTCACTTTAAGAAATGGAGGCTTATTTTCAAACATCCCTGACACTTAATTGATGGTCAATAAGAATGTCCATACGATAAATTAGTCCCTATTTAAACTTTACAATAAAGTGTGATAGAGTAAACTAATGATATACAGTCAGTATAGTCCACAATAAAATATCCCAGAGCGGCTTTAACCCCTTAAGGACACATGGCATGATTCCCTTTTATACCAGACGTTTGGTCCTTAAGGGGTTAACTGGATAGCTGAAACTGGTGGATAAGGAATAAGTTTACTCCAAGCTGTATAAATACGGGCCATGCATTTGTGATCTGAATGCATTTGTGATACAACTGAGATGTGGTAACCACACAACAAGATAAAAAAAATGAATGGTGTGTGCGAAAAGAAATTCTAAAAATGAATGTTCTAATTTTCTTTATTTGTGCTTTAGCCCAAACACAAGATGGCAAAACGACTGACCTTCTGTGAGAATAATAATGATTAAACATGCACAAGGTATTTTTTAAAGGAACACTATAGTGTCAGGAACACAAACATATATGACTGACACTATAGTTTTAATAGCGTTATTTAGGCCCCGTGTCCCCGTGTCAAAAGAGTAAAAGGTAATCTTACTTACCTTTATTCATGGCTCAGCCTGCCCCGTGCTACCTCCTTGGCTGAGATCATCAAACTTGACAATGTCAGCCAATCCAATGCTTTCACATAGGAAAGCACTGGGAGGCTATTCCCCATGCACGGCAAAACTCAGCAGTGTGACAATCAGCATTTCCCTATAGAGATGCATTGAATCAATGCATCTCTATGAGGAATCTTTAGAGCCTCCATGCACAGCGTGGAGACGCTAAACGTCAGTGCTGCACATTGTACAGTACTGACCCAGAAAGCACCTCTAGTGGCCATTTGAGTAATTGCCACTAGAGTTGTTACTAGGCAGCAATGTAAATACTGACTTTTCTCAGCATAGGCAATGTTTACATTAAAAAGCCTGCAGAGATATTCTATACATACCAGAACAAGCTTTAAGTGTAGTAAGCTAGTGTGCTAAAATTATCTAAATTTGTGGATATATTTGCATAACCATTAAATTTACTAGCAACTTGCTATTTGACTGGACCCTCAATAACCTCTTTTATCTGGTTCAAACTTTCAACAGTTTGTTTCTTAGTTTTTTTTCAGTTATATCCTCACATTAATATTGTAAAACGCAGATGAAGTGCCAATAATGATAATTTGATTAGTACGTTACTAATAGAGCTATATACTATATGTTAATGTGTATTTTGTTCCACTTTGTTAGTGCATGCCACCCTATGTGCATGGCACTTGGGATACTCCGGTGATTTGGAGCTAAGGGACAAAGCATGAAGCCAGTGATTTTGCAACAATTCTGTACAAAATGTGTCCTGTATTCATTTTTTTGTCATGGCCGGGGCTCAAAAAATGTGCTCTTTTGAAACTTGTGCCTCTGTCAACTCCTAGTTTGTCCCTATTAATTCCCCATCCTGACTGTTACTTAAGATTCTAGTAGAAATTATTTCTATTCTACTTTTTGATACAATTTACTGCCTAGTGAAGGCTGAAATTTCAAACCTTTGTGCCAGAGAATTCATTGCAATCTCATTTCAAAATAAATAATTGCATTAGTACGGCATTAATGAAACCGTATGTCTGCAAATACTTTCTATATTGTTTACTTAATTTCTCTTGTGTGCAATTTATCATTCCACAGAAAATGAACATAGGACGAGGAATCCATCTTTGACCGAAAAAATCTTTTTCATGTTAAAATATTAGCCTTAAAGAAATGTGATGCTAAATTCTTGTGGCGATTCTAAGCTTCTAATAGGCCACGCAACGTCTAATTTTCACCTAGTTTATCTTGGCAATCTAAATTAAGACACTCTATGGTCACTTTAGAGCCGGCAATAAAATAAAACCAGGGTGTAGGACCAGTACTTGGTCAGTAAATATGTCAAGACAACTCTATGATTTACTGTATTTTCATCTCACAATCTGCAGTCTGTTCAGATATACATTTTTAAAATTTTTCAAGTTCATTGTCTTTAACTACAAACACATCCGTGACAGCAGAGCTGGGTATTGGGAGGTTATAAATCATCCCAATTTCCTCTTGCTCCCATAAGTACATTTTGTCTATTCGGTGATATCTTAATGCCAGTTTGTTAGAGGGGGGGGGATCTCTTGTTCCCATGCGCCATTGTTAGGTCATGTTTAATATAGATTTGAGGTCGGTGTACATTGACAGATTTGGATATTTATTTGTCAAGCAGTGAGTCTATGATTCTATGAGTCTACGATTCTCAGCAAGGAGTTTATGATTGTAATTGGCTGAGTTGTTACTGGGAATATTTAGATATAGGTGGCACATGATAATTATATATAGAGAATTAGAAGAACAAACAGAGGTTTGCTAGAGTAAAGGGGGTCACCAGAAGGCTGTGAATATATGCTACTTTAAGCGTGGCGAAGCAGGACAAGGTGGTTTAGAGGAGATGAAAAGGACATGATCATAGAAACATAGAATGTGACGGCAGATAAGAACCATTCGACCCATCTAGTCTGCCCAATTTTCTAAATACTCTCATTAGTCCCTGGCCTTATGTTATAGCTAGGATAGCCTTATGCTGTGCATACTGTGTTAACCTCTGCCGCTTCAGCTGGAAGGCTATTCCATGCATCCACTACCCTCTCAGTAAAGTAATAGTTCCCGATATTATTTTTAAACCTTTGCCCCTCTAATTTAAGACTATGACTTTTTAGTGTGGTAATTTTTCTTCTTTTAAATATAGTCTGCTACTTATTTATTAGAAAGAACAATAATGTTATTGGTGACGTGCATTTCTGTATTTTAGTCCACCTGCAGTAGAAGAGATTGCACAGTTATTATGTATACCCCTCCTGCCACAGTATCCACACAGAGAGTTCATCCCCTGCAGGTCATTCTCAGTTACGCCTTGAGTAGCTAGTTATGCCAGAGTGAGCGCTGTCATCTGGCTGCCATGTTTTTTCTGACTTTGTTGTTGAAGAGGAATTTAAAACAATAGATTAGCCTTTTAACCTGCAATGCATTTACAAAGTGATTTAAGAAAAAGGATTTATGTAACAGACGAGGCAATGAATTACGCTGTAGTCTGTAAGCTCACTTGAGCCAGGCCCTCATCACCTCCTGTTCCTGTTCGCCTACATTTGTCGTCGCTTACTAGTGTATTTTGTCTACTTTGTTGTACAGCATTGCAGAACACGTTGGAGTTTTAAAATAAAAATAATCATTCTAATAGGCAGGCTTAGTTTTTAAAATAAATATGGTTTCTCAACAGCAGGGGGTGAGTAGAACATTTTGGTCCAGACATTCTGATTGTAATGTAGCAGCTGAGCTTGAAACTGATAGACTTTTTAAAACTTGTCTCTGCCAGATAATTTTGTATTTTCAGGAACTCTGCTGGCGTCCCATCTGCCTAGAGGGGTTCCTCGGAAAGAGAACAAAACATGTTTTTGTTTTGTTTTTTTAACTAAATTAAGTAGAACAATAAACAATGAGAGCCCTACCCCACACATACAATAATAAAAAAAAACATGCAAAACAAAAATATAAACTTTTCTACTGAACCAAAAAAGTATTTTTTTGGAACACCGAGTGTTATTTAAAATGCACAATAGCCTTGGTTCACAGCACAAACTCGGTACAGAACTGTCTCCCACACTTACAGCATATTCAGCTCTACAAACAGCTGGAAGTGATAAACTTCTAATGGACTCTTCTGTTACTTTGGCTGTAGGACCTGCTATGAGTTGTCACAGGATGCTTCTTGGACGTAAGGGGCTTCTTTAAGTGGCTATCTGTACCAGAAGCTGGGCAAATTCATCATCAAGGGCCACCAAATGCCAAATGTTTTGGAGTAAATGAAAGTTAGAGCAGACAGAAATAAATTTCAATTTATTTAAATTCTATTAACCCCTTCACATTGAAACTCATGTATGAACAATTGCCAGAGTATGCACTCATACCTCCCAATTGTGTATGCACGATTTGCATAAATGCAAATTAAATTAATTTATTGAAAATTAATTTTGGTGGCAAATTATGCCTATAGTTACTTCTGAAAGTCACAGTGCAACAACACTCACAGCTGCCACACTATGACCTTCTCACAGCTGAAATGTCAGCTCTCTACTCCAAGCAGCCTTAGCAGAACCCTGTCATATCACCCCTTCACTCAGTAACTGTGTCACAGTCTCACCCCTCCCCACACACTCAGTCACCCTGTCACATCACCCCTCCCCCACAAACTCAGTCACCCTGTCCCATCACCCCTCCCCCACATGCAATGTACTCCCTGTCTCAGTCACACCACTCACCTACACACTCAGTTACTCTGTCACATCAGCCCTCCTCAACACACACTCAGTCACCTAGTCACATCACCTACCGACACAGTCATCCTGTCACATCACCACCCCTCCCCCCACACACTCAGTCACCATATCACTGTCAGTCACCATGTCATAATAAGCCAACACACTAACTCCTCACACACAGTCACTCCTCACACTTACCCCTCACACACAGACAGTCACATTGCCAAAGTCACTCTGTCACACTGTCTCTGTCACTCTCACAGGCACCATCCCATAGCCAGTAATACTCACCAAATCACCTCTCACACACAACACAGCCCCACCATCAACACAACACACACAGCAAGACCACAACCCCCCAATACACACAACAAACAGCTGCTTCCACACATATGCTCCCAGACACAGTGAAATTTGTGCTCTCGGACACAGAGATACACAGACTGACTGGGGTATGCATTATAGGAACAGTTACAGATACACATGCACACATATATACACTCACAGATGCACAAGGATACTCACTGCCATACACGCACTCTCATGCACATATACACTACATAATGCCAGTTATGCACACACAGGTACCAATACACACTGCCAGACACACACTGTGATTGTGTGACTGTATCTGTCAATGTATGTGTGTGTCTGTGTGTCATTGTTTTTTCTGTACATCAGTGTGTTTGTGTGTGTGTATGCATGTGTATAAGCGTATCAAGTGTATATATGTGCATGTATCAAAGTATATATGCATGTATCATTGTGTGTATGTGTGTGCATGTATTTGTGTGTGAGGGTGATATCATATGGGTAAAGTTGTCTTATTTATTGTCAATATACATAGGAAAAGATTTTTAAACACACGCACCCAACTGAGAACTTATAATATTAGACAATGTATGAGTGAGAGGATTATAACCTATGTGAGGAAAAAAAGTCCAGGTTTCATATGGAGAAATTTTATTTATTTAAAACTCTGTTTTACTATATCTAACATCATTAATTAGTAATCAATTTAAAAAAAAAAAAAAAAAAATTCTGTCCAGACAAAATGTTAATTTTTCTTCTTCTTTAATCTAGGCATGCTGAAACAAACAAAAAATAAATTTAAACATTACTTTCCAGGACACCCAAAATACTTGGATTCTGAGAGTGTTTTTTTTCTGAAAACCGATTGGTAGTGAAGGGGTTAATACTAATGCTAATATTACCCAGTGCTTATTTTAACACATTGAAGGGAAAATATATCAAGTTTACTTAATTTAAAAAAAAAGAAAAAGCTAGTTGTTATCAGTAAACATCCATTTGCTCCCCTTTGTACCACATTGGTCCGCTCTTTGCTGAGTGCACTTAATTACACTTGACGAGAGGTCGTAGCCTCCTTATCTATACTTTCCCAAAATCTTTTTATTGTGCTGCCAAACTCTGAAATATCTCCCTACTCCCGCATTGCCCCATATGTTGGCGGACCTATATATGTTAGAAAAATTATAACTGCACAGATCACTACAACTAATACTCCATCCTGACTCGATGATAGCCTACGACAAGTCATTACTTATACCTATCATTGACATGTTATGCACCTATATATATCTGATGTACCATTATCATTATTATTATTGCCATTTATATAGCGCCAACAGATTCCGTAGCGCCTTACAATATTATGAGAGGGGGATTTAACTATAAATGGGACAATTACAAAACACGGGAACAGTAGGTTGAAGAGGACCCTGCTCAATCGAGGCCATAAGCTTGGAGGCAATAAGCTTTCCTAAAGAGATGGGTTTTAAGGCACTTCTTAAAAGATACAAGACTAGGGGAGAGTCTGATACCATTGAATATCATTATGTCACTTTGTTTTGTTGATTTAGGCTTCGCACCCACGAAAAAAAAGAATTAAAAAAAAAAGAAGCTATATGTATTCTAAGTCAATAATTTCTTTAATGATAACCAGGGCCGGACTGGGGAAAAAATTCGGCCCAGGCATTTTTTTATCACAGCGGCCCATTAAGAAGGGGGCAGGGCAGAGAGGGTGTGTTTTGTCATCACTCATGACAAACACGCGCCCTCTCAAAGTGAGCATGTTGGTTCAATGCTCTTCCAGGGCAGACCATGCACAGAGCTCTGCTGAAGAGCTCTAGCATGAGAAAAAAGCCCTGTATTTGTTCTGTGCAGTGCAAGCAAATTTAATAACATGCTTGCACTGTGTTTCCTTGCAACTTGTCTCTGGTGTCTCTATAAATGGATACCAGGAGACAAAAGGGCCAGGAAAGAGTATTGTGCATGTGTTTGGAGCCTGCTTGTGGTATTGCGTGTGTGTAGAGTGAGCTGGTCGTGGTGTGGTATTGTGTAATAAGGTCGGTTTTAGTCATGTTGTGTTTGTGGTGTAATGTAATGCATATGTGGCTAGGGGCTGTAGAGAATGTGTCTATAGGGGATGTAGCAAGTGTGTGTATACAGGCTATAGTGTGTGTGTGTGTGTGTATACAGGCTATAGTGTGTGTGTGTGTGTTCAGGGAATGTATGGGTTTGCTTACAAGGAATCTAGTGTGCGTATAGGGGATCCAGACTGTGTGTGTGTGTGTGTGTGTGTGTGTGTGTGAAGGACCCAGACTACGTATGGGAGATCTAGTGAGCGTGCGTATATAACGGATTCAGAGTGTATATAGGGATCTAGTGTGTGTGTAGATGATTCAGAGTTGGGTAGAGGATCTAGTGTGTGTCTGGAATGAAATGTGTTTAGGGGTGCTGTGTGTGTGTGTGTGAGGGGTGCTGTGTGTGTATATATATATATATATATTATATAAATATGTTTGGAAGTATTGTGTATGTGTGTGATGCAGTGTATCGGGGGGTTGTGTGTGTATGTGAGGGGTGCAGTATGTGTGTGTGAGTGCTGTGTATGATGTGTGTGAGTGCTGAGTGTAATAGTGCTGTGTATGATGTGTGTGAGTGCTGAGTGTAATAGTGCTGTGTATGATGTGTGTGAGTGCTGTGTATGATGTGTGTGAGTGCTGAGTGTAATAGTGCTGTGTATGATGTGTGTGAGTGCTGAGTGTAATAGTGCTGTGTATGATGTGTGTGAGTGCTGAGTGTAATAGTGCTGTGTATGATGTGTGTGAGTGCTGAGTGTGCTGAGTGTGAGAGTGCTGTGTATAAATGTTGTGTGTTGGGGGGTAAATAAACAAATAAAAACCTAAGTGGGAATAAATATACAAATAAAAAAGAATAAGGGGGGTAAATAAACAAAAACACTAATCATGCATTATCTCCCCCCTCCCTCCCCCCTTACATTTAGCCTGGGAGGAGGAGGGGTCCGGCACGCTGGTGAGTGGGGGGGGGTGGGGAACCAGCACTCACACACGATCCCTGGTGGTCCAATGGTGACTCTCGCGAGATTGGGGCGTTGCCATGGCAACGCTCCCGATCTCGCGAGAGGAACCCGGCGGAGCTGCAAAATAGAGCTCCGCCGGATCCTCTCCCTCTCTCCCCAGCCGCCGGTCTATTTAAATGGGCCGGTGAGGGAGCGCTTTGATCTCCCCACCGGCCCTCCATGGCAAACAGCGGGGCCGGCGCTCGGATAGTGCCGGCCCTGCATAGACCGGCAGGGGATGTCCTGGGACCTCCCCTGCCGGCCTCGGCCCATGGCCACCGCGGCCCACCGGGCATTTGCCCGGTGTGCCCGATGGCCAGTCCGGGCCTGATGATAACAGTTATGTACAATTGTCTATCTGTCTATCTGTCTGTATGTACCTTATCGGGACTGTCAATATAAAGATCCCAGTCAGGAGTGAAATGCTGTCTGATTGATTTCCCTTGTTTTGTGTTGTCAGCTAGAGAATAAAGGGCAAGAATTGCTTTATAAACCCTGTGATTGCGCTCATTTTTTCATGCCTGTATTGTGAACACTTCATGTAATGTCATGCAATCTTTAGTAACTTCAGAATGTTCTGTTTTAATCTGTTTTCAAGCAAAAAAATAAATTAAAAAAAATAACAAGCAAAATGTAAATAAAGCAATTTAAATCAATATTCCCAACAGATGAATATTATTTTAATTGAATCTGTGTAGGGGTAATTCACATTTAAATATTTAACATTTACAGCCATTTTGGAACTGTATCAAAAACCGCTTCCGTGGGTTAATTAACATATGCTGTCAACAGCCAACCAGAACCTGGGATTCAGCTCATTAACTAATAACCGAGGTGTCCAAAGAAAATAACAGCATTTACAACTCAATTATTTATCAATGTTTAATTTAAATAAAACCCAGGCCAAACAACTGTTACAATTATTGTTATTCACTGAGGTTTGAATTGTCAGTAGTTCTGAATAACTGAATTCAGTGAGAATTTTAACACTAGAAGAATTAGAGCATTAGGAATAAGAACCTGTACCCCTAATGCTTTTGTGCTCCTGTCCCTAGTAAAATAGAAGTTCCTTCCCCTGTTTGTAATAAGAATAGATGATTTACTTGATTTTTCTAGCACCGAAACTCCCTCTGCACTGCTTACTTCACCACCTCCTGCAGCGTCACAAAGGGGACGATCCAATACAAGGCACCCATAGAGAAGTATTGGGAACTTGACGTTCATGCAAGGTGTTGGCCGCATGGACATCCAAGCATTCCCTTAATCAAGTATTGATGCTTTCCCAATGGCTTCAACATCAAGTGACTGAGTTCTACTCCGTTGGTGCAGTTGAAGCCCCTCTAATGGCTGTCAGTTTAACAGCCACTCGAGGTGTTTTTAACCGTGCAATGGAACCATTGCCATTTCTAAAAACAATGTAATGTTTCACATTGCAAGGTTAAACCTGCAGGACCTCAGCACCCAGACCACTTCATTAAGACTTTAGTTTGAAGCCAATGGTGCTCTGAATGTTTTTTATCACAGAGAGTTTACTTATAGTAGAAGATCTTCGCATTCTAGAAAATGTCATAAGTCTCATTGGTGGTAAATACATTAACAATATCAATGTCGCAATGATGAATTTTTAAAATATCATCATTAGTTACCATCAAGATATTGTAAAATTTAACGCGATTTTTAGTTCGGCATTACTAATTTATAGTTGCATGCTCAAAGAGAAGAGCTCTCAGCTTTGGTTCTCTGACTGTTGTTGAACTACATCTCCCATAATTCT